CGATAATCTGTCCCGCAGTTAAAGCTTTTTTGTAAACTTGCATACAGGATATACTACCACGGAAGTACCTCCTGTCTCCAATCCTCGCACCCATTCTTACGGGATAGTTAGTGGCCAGTCTAAAGCGGCCAATTCGCCGAGAAGCAACAAATCTTTTATTAACAAACAACCTTGCGATACCACTTCGGTAATCGTACGTAGCACCGACGTACTGCCAAGTTCGATAGCGAACTGTGCGACTTGAAACTGCTCTTGTGAAGCGGCGTCTTCGTCGCCGAGTAAAGCGTACAAACAATGTTTTAGGAGACACCATCCAGAAGTGCACGCCCCAGCCATTCGGCATGTAATTAAAGATGGGACCAGCGTGACCTTGATGATAAATCCACGCCAAAAGGGTTATTGACAGCCTTGTGTCCAGTCTACCACGGTTAGGAAACTGGATGAAGCTGTTGCGTCGGCCGTAAAATTTTGTTGCCGTCCCTCGCACGCCGTCAGGACCTCGTGTGTACCTGACGTTAACAGAACGTCCTCGTGGGTTGCCATTGATACTTATATCTCTTCCTCGAGTTGAAGAACTGAGCGGATATACAGCGCCTGCGCGTCCAACAGCTAATAAAAAATATCGTTATCGATTTTAGCGAATATTTCGAGCTGATTACTCTAAAAAAGCGAGGTTATCACAAAAAAATCAGATCTAAATTAAAACATAAGTAAACTTAATTCAAGATAATCAGAAGAAGCAAACAAAAACCAAAAAACCAAACAAATAAATTGGAACACGGTCAGGTTGCAAGATTAATTCTTTGGAAAAAAAAGGCAATCATCCTCCTGGCTCAGAATTCAATATGACAGCGCAGCTTACAAATCACATATCACAGCTGTCGAAATAGTCCAAGAGTTTTTAAGAATTTTGGTATATGATAAAATGACGTAGATTAAGTCTAAAAAGCCAGGTGCCAATTAAATAAATCCTAACGTCAGCTGTTACCGATTGCCTCCGACGTTAAGGTTTATGCAACTG